CCCCCCCCCGGACAGGATAAGCCACAAAGGTTCGGGACCGCTGTTCTACATTGCTAACCCCATGGGGTGGGACTTCTGTCCTCCCCCTCGGGGGGGATCCTGCATCAAAAGTAGGCCTTGGGCTCCCTTTTTAATGGACCCCCCCCCCCCAGGAAGAAGGCAAAGCCACCCTGCCTCACCTGCTTGAGGTTTTTGCTTGGCAGATCCTTTCTTTGCTCCGGCCTGAAGCTGGGCCTGGCTGAGCAGCTTCCACCGATTACTGATCTGGAAGACACAAGGCAGCCTTTGGGAAGCCATGTCCCAGTGGCCAGACTAGGGACAGAAGGCCATTGCAAGGGTCCCGGGAGACTCTAGCTCCAACAAACCGGTCACTGGATTCGGAAGCCTTTTTACCTATGTTCTTACCTCGTAGATTTTTGAGGACGGGTCAGCCTTCGCAGCCTGAGAGATGTGAACCGGGTTGAGCTCTGCTGGCAAATACTAAGAGGAGTAAAAAAAACAACAACAAGGGGCAGCTAAATCACCTTAGTTAAGGCAAGAGTGCATGCACACACCTAAGGGCTGGGTTATCGGTTACGGCAGAGGTCCAGCACCTTTGGGGCACCGGGGACTGGTGCCGTGGAGAGAGGTTTTTCCACAGACCGGAGGGTGTGTGGTTTTGTGTGCTGCCTGCATCCCACGGATGGGGCTTTGCTTGTTTGTGTGGCCCGCTCGTTGGCATGCTGTGGACCGGGAATTGGGGACCCCTGGGTTACGGTATCTATTTGCGCCTCCTTTAGATGCCAAAGAGTAACAGACAGGGGGGTGTTTTTACCATTCGAAACGGATTCTCAAAGGACTCCATGATATGCTGAGCTTTCAGCTGGGCCACCGTTAAGTTTTCGCCTTTCTGATCCTCTTCGGGCTCCTTCGGGAAGAGAGGAAAGGTATCACCAGCCCTATCATTTGCTTTTAATAATAATAATAATGATGATGATAAAGTTGGAAGGGACCTTGGAGGTCATCTAGTCCAACCCCCTGCTCAGGCAGGAAACCCTATACCATTTCAGACAAATGGCTGTCCAGTCTCTTCTTGAAAACTTCCAGTGTTGGAGCATTCACCGCTTCTGGAGGCAGGTTGTTCCACTGGTTAATTGTCCTCACTGTCAGGAAGTTTCTCCTTAGTTCCAGGTTGCTTCTCTCTTTGGTTAGTTTCCATCTGTTGCTTCTTGTCCTGCCTTCAGGCGCCTTGGAGAAGAGCTTGACTCCCTCTTCTTTGGGGCAGCCCCTGAGATATTGGAACACTATCCTATCCCCCCTCGTCCTTCTCTTCATTAAACTAGACATCCCCAATTCCAGCAGCCGTTCCTCATATGTTTTAGCCTCCAGTCCCCTGATCATCTTTATTGCTCTTCTCTGCACTCTTTCTAGAGTCTCGACATCTTTTTTACATCGTGGTGACCAAAACTGGATGCAGCATTCCAAGTGTTAATCCCGACGTTTCGATCCGGCCCGTTCCCTCTCCTCTCCCCTCCCCGCCACGTGCAAATCCTTCTCAGCTGCCCAAACTCACGTTGAAAACACTGATGCTAGCTCTGAACTGGAGACACAAGGGGGACACGAGGCCCGTCTGCTCCGCTTCTGAAAAGAGCTTTGCGTGCTCCAAAGGCAGTCCAGGGCCTTCTGGAAAGGAAGGACCAGAAGAAAAGAAATTAGGCAATAATAATTTACTTTAAAAAAATAAATAAAATAAAATCCATCTCTTTGCTCTCCCAGGAATTTTTGGATGGGGTCCTTTTTTTTTAATCACCATATGTTTTGGTGAACATGATACAATAGTAATTAATAATAATAATAATAATAATAATAATAATAATAATAAAGTTGGAAGGGACCTTGGAGGTCATCAAGTCCAACCCCCTGCTCAGGCAGGAAACCCTACACCATTTCAGACAAATGGCTGTCCAGTCTTACAAGTTAATTTTGGGAGAGGGGGAGACAGGGAAAGGTGAGACAGAAAAAGAAAACAGGAGGCTGGCTTCCATTATTTAAGGTTCCTGCCTTGCCCACCAGAGGTTTTGCATCCATCCGGGGGTCATGATCTGCTCCCCCCCACTCCCCTTCATGGGCTAAAGACGCTTCCTCTCCCCCATTCCAGAATTTTACCGTGATCCAAATAGTTGAGCTTCTCCTCCTGGGAACTGTGGGACCTGTCGTGAGGCCCAAACAAAAGGTTCTCCGGTTTCTGACAAAACCAAAAGAACAGAATAACAAGAGTTGGGAGGGACCTTGGAGGTCATCTAGTCCAGCCCCCTGCTCAAGCAGGAGACCCTATACCACTTCAGACAAACGGCTGTCCAGTCTCTTCTTAAAAGCCTCCAGTGATGGAGCACCCACAACTTCTGTTCCTCTGGTTAATTGTTCTCCCTCTTAAGAAATTTCTCCTTCGTTCCAGGTTGCTTCTCTCTCCTTCATCCGTCGTTTCTTGTCTTGCCTTCCGGTGCTTTGGAGAATAGTTTGACACCCCCCCCCNAAGAAGAAGAAGAAGAAGAAGAAGAAGAAGAAGAAGAAGAAGAAGAAGAAGAAGAAGAAGAAGAAGAAGAAGAAGAAGAAGAAGAAGAAGAAGAAGAAGAAGAAGAAGAAGAAGAAGAAGAAGAAGAAGAAGAAGAAGAAGAAGAAGAAGAAGAAAGGGACCTTGGAGGTCATCAAGTCCAACCCCCTGCTCAGGCAGGAACCCTACACCATTTCAGACAAATGGCTGCCCAGTCTTACAAGTTAATTTTGGGAGAGGGGGAGACAGGGAAAGGTGACACAGGAAAAGAAAACAGGAGGCTGGCTTCCATTATTTAAGGTTCCTGCCTTGCCCACCAGAGGTTTTGCATCCATCCGGGGGTCATGATCTGCTCCCCCCCCCCCACTCCCCTTCATGGGCTAAAGACGCTTCCTCTCCCCCATTCCAGAATTTTACCGTGATCCAAATAGTTGAGCTTCTCCTCCTGGGAACTGTGGGACCTGTCGTGAGGCCCGAACAAATGGTTCTCCAGTTTCTGACAAAACCAAAAGAACAGAATAACAAAGAGTTGGGAGGGACCTTGGAGGTCATCTAGTCCAACCCCCTGCTCAGGCAGGAGACCCTATACCACTTCAGACAAACGGCTGTCCAGTCTCTTCTTAAAAGCCTCCAGTGATGGAGCACCCACAACCTCTGTTCCTCTGGTTAATTGTTCTCCCTCTTAAGAAATTTCTCCTTCGTTCCAGGTTGCTTCTCTCTCCTGGATCCGTCGTTTCTTGTCTTGCCTTCCGGTGCTTTGGAGAATAGTTTGACACCCCCCCCCTCCCCTTCTTTGTGGCAGCCCTTCAAATATTGCAACACTGCTATCATGTCACCCCCCCTAGTCCTTCTTTTCACTAGATTACACATACCTACTAGACATTAAATTATAAAGCTCTCGAAAGAAACAAAGGAACAATAAGTCAAAAGAAAAAAAACATGGTAGTTAAGAGATTCTGGTAGCTGAAATTATCCAAACTTTGCAGGGCCTCAGATTAGCGAGAAAGCAACTCAGATAAATCCAGAGGCTTTTTTTTTTTAAAGGCTACTGTGGACCATATTAATTTTGTTGTCCTCCAGAACAAAAACCCTTCAAGGCAAGAGGCAGGACCAAAATTAAAAGGACTTAAACTTCAACCTCTCTGCAATCAACGCAATCTAAATTCAAAGGAGCTTAAGTGGGGATCAACACAACACTTTCCTAATTGTTTGGCCGTTTGTGAGGAACCCCAAACCCGGTTATGGCGAGTGTAGGGAAAGAACATCTGGAACCGGGGGGAAAAGGCCGGGCAACCCAGAAATTGATCCCAGATGTCCTTCAAACACAGGAAGTTCACAGCAACAAGGGATGGAAACGGGAACTGGATTATCAAAGGCTGCATACCTCTTGATTCTGAAGAGGCTCTCTCCTTCTCACGCCAACCGCACATTCTGACTAAGAGGGGACAAAATAAAAGGAATAAATAATAAGGAAACTGGCCTGGAAAAGAATTCAAAGCAGAAGAAAAAAGATTGTATGAACACCCTCTTCTTCTCAGTAGAACGTCCATCAACGTTGCTCATTTGTGCAGGAAAACACTCTCCAGATAGATTTTTTAAACATGGGGTTTCCCAAATTTTTTCTCTTTCTTTCAGCCAGCCCCTCCGCTCCGATACTTCAACGGAAGAGGCCGTTCTTCACCTTACCTTCAACAGGGGCATCTCTCGAGCCTGGCCGATTAGGAGATGCATTTCGTTCAGCTGCTGGCGGACCAGAGGCGGAACTGGGTTGCAGCAGGCAGCGATTCCCTGGGGCTCCCTAAAAGTGCGGACAAGGGCAGGTTTGGGTGAAGGAACCGTTGTTGTTTTTTTTACTCACAAAGGGAAGAACAACAGTCTTGAATGGCCATCGTCTCATTCAAGATACCCGCCGGTAGAATCAGGACTTACTTGGGCAGCTCCTCAGCTATTTTTAATAACATGTGATTGGGGAGGACGTATCTGCAGAAGAAAAGACAAGACCAGGAAGAGGAGTTAGTTGCTTGTCTCAGGTGCCTGTTGAGTCCACATTTGATCAACTGTGGCTTGAGCAGAACTCTTTTCAGCTGGTCCTGATCAAATATTTGCTCTGCTAGAGAAGCGAGGGGGTCCCCCGTTCCCGTGGATCTCACCAAGAATCTGTCAAAAGTGAAAACTTAGCAGCTACAGTGCCTGTTTTTAACTTGCCATCGGAATAACTGGGGGGAGGCTTTGCTTTCAACTGGGCTAGTTAGAGCAGGGGTCTTCAAACGTGGCCCTTTGATGACTTGGGGACTTCAACTCCCAGAATTCCTCAGCCAGCGTGCCTGGCTGAGGAATTCTGGGAGTTGAAGTCCACAAGTCATCAAAGGGCCACGTTTGAAGACCCCTGAGTTAGAGAAACGAAACCTTCCTATGGAAGTTTACTGAGAGCCAGCAGTCTGGAAAACTTTCAAGGATAATCTAGCAGGTGTGAAGAAGATAGCAGACGGTTCCCATAACACAATGAACTTGTTTACATGAGCTACACAGACCTCTGGGGGGGGGGGTTGGCTGGGAAAGTCATTCTTATATGTTACGGTCTGATGCCTTGGTATTTGAGAGTTAGTTTTACCTTGCCTATACCAGGCCCTGTGTTCAATAAACAGTTAGCTTTTCAAGAAAGAAAACAATCCTGGATTTTTTTATTTGGCTATTCGAGCTGGAGGTTGACAGAATCTCTTATATAACTAAAAAGTCAAAGCCAAACTGATGGTTTGGTAACAGCCAACAGAGGTGCCCAGCAGCGTTTCTTCTCACCCTGTGCTCTCATCCTCTTGGCGCGCCATTTTGTCCCTCCAGGCAAAGAGCAGCCGAAAAGCTGTTAGTTGCTGGGTGTTCAGGTGCTTTTTCTGCTTGCGATAAAGTTCAAGGTACGAGTCGTCCGTAAAGATGGGCTTGGTATATTTCTAATGGTGAAGAGAGCAACACATTTAGTCTGGGAAACATCCGTGGTTTTCCGCTCCAGGGAACGGGCTACTGAATCAACCCAAGCCAATCCTCTGGAAAACAAAAATTTGAGAAGGCCTTCTACGTAGGCACCCCAATATTTATTTTAAATTCCCATTTCTAGGTGGCACAGTTGTGTTCCTTAAATGTGTGTGAGTGTCTATGGCGGCATGCCAAAACTCTACATTTTAAAAAAAATCTATTAACTTGCCCGAGTTAAATCAGTTTCTTTCTCTCTGCCCTTTTTGTAGGATTTAGCCCGCCGCTTACCCCAGGAAAGTGAAATTAGTGCACTCTGTATGTGACAATTCAACCATCCTCACATCCAAAATTGTAACAGGCAAGACTCAATAGATCAGAGGTCTTCAAACCTGGCCCTTTTAGGACTTGTGGACTTCAACTCCCAGAATTCCTCAGCACGCTGGCTGAGGAATTCTGGGAGTTGAAGTCCACAAGTCATCAAAGGGCCACGTTTGAAGACCCCTGATATAGACTTTAAGAGGAGTGGACTTCAACTCCCAGAATTCCTCAGCACGCTGGCTGAGGAATTCTGGGAGTTGAAGTCCACCAGTCCTAAAAGGGCCAAGTTTGAAGACTCCTGCAATAGATGTTCCTCTACTATAACCGATTCTCTTCTCTGCTTGAGCCCAAGGATGGTTCTGTTTTCTCTGCCCTCACCTTTAAGCAGAGGTCCCGGCTTCGCTGCCAAACCGCTTGGAGCTGAGTGGGCTGCTCGTTGGCCATTTCCCAGAGAGCCTCTCTCACTCTGTCGTAGATATACAGCAAGTAGTGGGTGTCCTCGCGGGCATAAAAGACCATTTCCTCTGGCAGCGGGCTGGAAAACAAAGGCCAGAGAAGAACAGGGTTGGCCCAAGGATCGTACGTGGATTCTCAAGTATTTCTACCTCTGCTTGTTCCTAAAATACTCATGTCACAATTGGGCCTAAGTTGAGGACTATCTGTATTGGCCAAGCTGTGATCCAAGCAAGACAAGCTGAGAGAATTTGGCCCCATTTTACCACCTTGTTAAGTGAATCACTGCAGTTATTAAGTTAGGAACAGGCATCCAGTTTTGGTCACCACGATGTAAAAAAAGATGTTGAGACTCTGGAAAGAGTGCAGAGAAGAGCAACAGAGATGATCAGGGGACTGGAGGCTAAAACATATAAAAAACGGTTGCTGGAATTGGGTCTGTCTAGTTTAATGAAGAGAAGGACGAGGGGGGACATGATAGCAGTGTTCCAGTATCTCAGGGGCTGCCACAAAGAAGAGGCAGTCAAGCTATTCTCCAAAGCGCCTGAAGGCAGGACAAGAAGCAACGGATGGAAACTAACCAAGGAGAGAAGCAACCTAGAACTAAGGAGAAACTTCCTGACAGAACAATTAACCATTTCAGACAGGTGGCTGTCCAGTCTTTTCTTAAAAACCTCCAGTGATGGAGCACCCACAACTTCTTGAGGCAAGCTGTTCCCCTAGTTAATTGTCCTCACTGTTAGGAAGTTTCTCCTTAATTCCAGGTTGCTTCTCCCCTTGATCAGTTTCCATCCGTTGCTTCTTGTCCTGCCTTCAGGTGTTTGACCCCCTCTTCTTTGGGGCAGCCCCTGAAATACTGGAAGATTGCTATCATGTCACCCCCTAAGTCCTCCTTTTCTCTAGACTAGCCATACCCCATTCCTGCAACCGTTCTTCATCTGTTTTTGTCTCCAGGCCCTCGATCTTCTTAGTTGCTCTTCTATGCGCTTTTTCCAAAGCCCCAACTTCTTTTTTCTTAAGCTAAAAGGATCGAAAGTAACCGAATGAATTAAAAGGGGACCTGCAATCTGAAGGGCTCTTCCCACACCCACAGGGACAAATCTTACCGGATCCTCCAGTCGGCCAGCTGATACTGCTTCTTGGCATCCACGTCACAATAGAGTTTCAGCAGGTGGTGGAGAGAGTGACGCCCGAGGCTAAGGAGCCGGGCCGCCTGGTGAGTGTCGAAGACGTTCACCAGATAGAGACCAAAGTCCCTCTGAAGCCATTCCACATCCGAATCGGCGCCGTGAAGGACCTGCGGAGCCCCCGTCAACAGAACGTGAAATGCCACCTCTCGGCTTCCCGTTGGGCCCCGGCCCGCTCCAGATTCTGGCAAAGGGCTCCTCATTGGCCCAGCTGCACCAGAAATGGGGAAATGACGGAGTCCGGATTGCTTCCCCAGCCTCCAGTTTCTACCTGGTTCAGAGAACGGCTGTCAGCCGTCCCACTCAGTCGTCTAGCAAAGAAAAACCCCTGGCCATTTGGTTTTTGCCAAGAGTATATTTGTCATGGCCGACTCGCTACGTAGCCCTGCTCGCAATCGGGCCACAGAAACAGGGAGGGGTGGGGGAGGAAATGTATGGCTGGGAGGGAATTGAGGAATGCAAGTGAGCTGACGCAGTCTGGGATGGTCCCAATAGCCCAAATCGAACGCTGGGAAAACTCCGAGGTGCTCAAAATGTTCCCAAAACAAAACGAATGGGATTGACTGGCGCAATAGAAGAAGGGGACGACAGAGAATGAGGGGGCTGGATGGAGTCACTGAAGCAGCAGGCGTGAGCTTCAGTGGACTCCAGAAAATGGTAGACAGGAAGGCCTGGAGGAACGTTGTCCATGGGGTCGCGATGGGTCGGACACGACTTCGCAACTAACAACAACAACCAGGGTGAAAAAGGGGATTATACCTATGCTGGTTTTCGAGCGAAAATGTTAGAACTGGCTTTGCTACTTCTGTGCCTAGGTGGAATTATCGGTATAAAGTTATACGCTTTGTAAAATAACGTCCCAGCAGGGTTGTTTTTTTTTTTTTTTTGCTGCATTCACCCACGGGATTGGTTGACGTTACTTTACTGAAGCTTAAATGGTTACAGAAGTAGCATAAGCCGGATCTGAGGTTTTCCCACGCAAACAACCCGAAGTAAATTCTCCATCCCCCTCTTCTTCCTTATATTCCCTCTCTCCCCCTCCTCCCCAGCTAGTGTCAGGCTGTCAGCTCATGAAGTTTGGGTAGGTAAAATGCAGCCATGACAGCAGCCTTCAACCCATTTCAGTTCCTTTTCCCTCTGTCCCTCCTCCGGATATGGAAAAGTCAACATCCAGATGTTGGCACAATCAGAGGAAAGGGATGCTGATGTTATAAGGGGGGGGGAAATGAATTCCCCATCTTTGCAACCCTGACTTTGAGCCACCTTTTGGGAAAACTCTGTGGGCTAAGTGACAACCCCACCCCCCACCCCACACCACCCCCCTTAAGCCCTGAGTAACTCCAGAAGGTCAAGCGGACGGAGAAGGGGGCCTGTCTGCATCAAATCTGCCTCGCTCTCATCACCTTGACAATTGCAGGATCGGTGAAAGTCTCGTTCAAGATGTACAAGTGGCTGCGCAGCTCAAAAGGGTCGATAAGGAAATCTTCTGTCCGGGTAGAAATTTGCATCAGGCAGGTCAGCCCCAAGAAACTCCGATAGGAATGGTGCTACGGGAGAGCAGGAGAGAAAGAAAAGAGTCAATGAGATGGCATAACATCTACTTGTCCACCTCCAGCTCGGCTGTCCAAGTGAAGTTCAGGATTTCTTTCATTTCTGCAGATCTTACTGTTTCGTTGAATGCGTGGCATGGTATAGGCCAGGGGTCTGCTAACGTCTCTCCATTTCTGAAGGTCCAACCCTCGGCCCCTCGTTTTTATTTGTTTATTTTTAGCAAGCCTAAAAGAAAAAGAAGCCACGCCAAAGAGGCTCACCTCTAAATCCAAAGCAAACTCTTTGCAGCCCACGAGCTTCTCGTTCAGATCCACCAAACCCTCCAAGGTGGAAATGAAGTGGCAGGGAGTCTCTGCCAGTGGTCGAAACAGCTGGCCAAAGAAAAAAAAGAATGAACGAACGAACGAATGAAAGCACGGTAGCTTTAGCTGCAGATCCCAGAAAGAGGAAGGTGGAGGACCTGGCCCAACGCTCACCTGGACCTGAGGCTTCTCGAGAAATTCTGCGGGCACTGAAAAACGTTCCAGTTCATACCGATACGGGTGGGCAAACCTGCAGGAATCCGAAAGAACAATACAATCAGGAACGAAGATTGTGGTTCCTAACTACAAAAGTTAGCACCAGGAATGAATAGAAAACAACCGAGGCGGTAGGTTGATCCTCGAACTTTCTATCAGGGTGTCTTGGAACTAAAATCTATTTATTGGAGATACACAGCTGCCCGCAGCCAATAAGGGTAGATGGGTGGCTATATATAACTTAAAAGAATTTCCCAGAATTCCCAAGGCAGAATTGCTCTGAATTCACTGGGAGACGCAGATGCGAGGGAACGCTAGGAGAAACACCTTCTGCAGATTTAGTCCCGGCTGCCTGTTGAGGTGGGTTTTAACTGTTTGAATCCTTTTTTAAAAAAAATTGCCCAAGGTCTTAACCAAATTAATAAATTAAATCCATGGAGGCCGGGATGAAATAAAATTAAACTTTCTCCACCCAATCCCCACCATCCGGTCAGAGCGGAAGGATCTTCTGGGATGAGAAGGGAAACGTCTTCAAAGGAAAAACAAGAAAGTCTCCTGAAAAAAAGCAATTTTGGGACCACCAGGACCTCCACAGACGTAAAATTAAACTTCCTGTTCTTACATGTCCTGCTCCGTCTTCTGGGTCCTCTGCTGGTGCAGGAAGTCAGCCAGGGCTGCGGGGACATCCAGGTCTTCCGGACGCTCCTTCCGCTCTTGACGGCTTTTCAGCAGGGCTGGAGAGAGGCAAACCAAGTGAGGAGGCCCAGCCAGCTTGATGCTCTCAGGGGTGGCCAATTACCCCAAGGCTGCTGCTGCTGTTGGAAGGAACAGCCAGCCCAAAGGTAGATCTGTCTGCCCAACCCCACCATTCCCCTCCCCCCTTCCCTCGCACCTTGGGGCAAGGGCCTCAGAGCGTTGGGCTTGATGAAGAGTTTGGGCACAAACGGGGTGTTGGAATTGTCCACCTTCTCCTGGAACTTGAACTGAGGGCGGGCAATGTTCTTCGCGTGGAGAAGGCGGAAGGTCTCCAGATTCGACCTTGGGCTGGTGTCCCGGTTTGGCTGGGAAAAGGGAAATTGGAGCCCAAGGTGAGACTGTTTCTCCAGTTTAGATGCTCTTGGGAAACTCCCAGCTGGTAAAAATCTAATTCCCCCCACCCACCGGCTCAGATTTGAAAATACACGGCTTTTGAATCACAGAGCCCTTTGATATACCATACTTTTATCCAGGGGTCTTCAAACTTGGCCCTTTTATGACTTGTGGACTTCAGCTCCCAGAATTCCTCAGCCAAGCACACGTGGAATTCTGGGAGTTGAACTCCACAAGACATAAAAGGGCCAAGTTTGAAGAGCCCTGCTTTTATCTAACCCTGTTTTACAAAAACACCACCTGGTCAAATTGTCAGCCTGGACCCCTGCAGAACTGGAGCTTAAAACTCTCACCTTTCCCAAACTAGCGGGAGGTCAACTGTAATCTACAGAGGTTCGATAGAGAGAAGCAGTGGAGGGAAAGTTGGCCTAGAAATAAACCCTGCCGTTTTAATATGCCACGCCGAAATGTTTTGTCACCTTGCGATTCCAGCTGGAGATGATTGTCTTGGGAGGCTGCAGGCCCGTGGGAAGCACCGGCTGCTGGTTCTTGTTCACTCCGGCAGCTTCGTCCAGCAACATGCCCTGAAATTTCAGAGAAGGAAATTGTGAGCCCGTCGCACGGGTCACAAGATCGAAAGGGGAGCCACAGGGTGATCCCACGGGAGCCTTCACGGAAGGGTGCTGGTACGCTCACCACTCGTTCTAAGATGACGTCGTTGGCGTCCACCAGCAGATCAAACTTGTCCTCCAGCTCTGTGATCTTGCTGTGGTCTTGAAGGTGGCTCCGGCATCCGTGGTACTGCATCACTTTACTCATGCTAAGGAGAGAGAGAAAGTGGAAGAGAGAGAGAAAGAAAGAGAGGAAGAGAAAGAGAGAAAAAGAAAAAGGAAGAGAGAAAGAGAGAAACGGAGAGAGGAAGAAAGAGAAAGAAAAAGAATGTGGAAGAGAAAGAAAGGAAGAGAGGAAGAGAAAAAGAAACGAAGAGAAAGAGGAAAGAGAAAAAAGAAGAGAAAGGAAGAAAGAAAGAGAAAAAGAGAATGCGGAAGAGAGAGAGAGGAAGAGAGAAAGGGTGAGAAAGAGAAAAGGGAAGAGAGAGAAAGAAAGGAAGAAATAAAGAAAAACAGTGGAAGAGAGAGGAAGAGAGAGAAAGAGGAAAAGAGAAAAAAAGAAAAAAAAGGAAGGAAGAGAAAAAGAAAGAGAAAGAGGAAGAGAAAAAGAGAAAGAAAGTGAAAGAGAGAAAGAAAGAGGAAGAGGAAGAAAGAAAAAAAGAAAAAAGAGAAAGTGGAAGAAAGAAAAAGGAAGAGAGAGAGAAAGAAAAAAAGTGGAAGAGAGAGGAAGAGAGAGAAAGAGAGGAAGCGAGAGAGGAAGAGAGAAAGAAAAAGAGAAAGAGAGAGGAAGAAAGAAAGGGAAAGAGAGAAAGAGAGAGAATTAATCTGTTAGCAGGAAAGGACGCTCCGCGGAGGAAGACAAACACTTCTGCACCCACGCAGGGCAATTTGTTTTCCTCTGTGGCTTCCCTGGTGTCACTTAATCTGGGCCAGGGGCCCAAACCACGTGCAGACCGAGTTCCCTTTCGGCCCAGCTACTTGTAGAGACTCACCACTGCAGCAGCCTTTCCCCTTGCGTCTCGCAGTAGGCCTGGAACCCGGAGAAGCTGCGGTAGAAATCGTACTCGTCTCCAGGCTGAGGGAGGCCGGAGGAAGCCTTGGTGGCCGAGACCACCGTGCCAAGGGCATGCTGACAAAGAAGGCGATGATGGCAAGAGTCGGTCACTGAACGTTTCTCCCATCTCTCTTTTCATTTCCGTAATTGTGGGCCTTTCATTGTGTGCGCGTGGACACACACACACACAAACCAGCTTCCTCCCACCAAAATAAAGCCACCCGCACAGAAACGAACGAACGAAACGACAGGCAGGTATCTCTACAACGGGAATCTTCAAACTAGGCAACTTTTAAGACTTGTGGACTTCAACTCCCAGAATTCCTTAGGCTGAGGAATTCTGGGAGTTGAAGTCCACAAGTCTTAAAAGTTGCCAAGATTGAAGACCCCTTGCTCTACAACAGTGTTTCTCAACCTTGACAATTTTAAGGCATGTGGACTTCAACTCCCAGAATTCCACAGCCAGCATTGCTGGCTGTGGAATTCTGGGAGTTGAAGTCCACGTGCCTTAAAATTGTCAAGGTTGAGAAACACTGCTCTACAAGGTTACTAAGAGCTGGGCTTCTCCCAGAGGGCTCGCAGGCTCACTCACTCGCCCCCTTGCAAAATACCCCGCAAACTTGGGAACGGCTTCTAACAATTTCAGCAGCCAGGATCAAAAATGTCCTTATTGCACTGCCAGAGGCTTGTAAAAAAAAAGGCCTTAGCCCATTCTAAATGCTATTTTCCTTTTTTGCTTCGCCCACGCTTTAAACATAATTTAATTCGGCACTTTGGAAAGTGAGATTCGCATTTTACGGAACGTCACAACCAGGGGCAGGAAGCGCCGAGACTACAGTTCCCGGCATGCCCGGAAACCCAAGGCGCATGCGCACTCCGCTCCCGACTACCTTCACGAAGGAATCTGCGTCTCTAAAGCCCGGGAGCACCATCGCCGGGCCGCGGCTTTCCATCGCCGGCGCCTCGGAGGTGCTTCCTAAGCTCTGGCCGTTCTCCGCCGCCATGGCCCGCCGAGGCCGAGGCCCACCGCGCCACCGTCACAGCCCCGCTCAGCAAGCAGCCTCCATGCTGGGCAGCTCAGCCACGGCGATTCCCCGCAAATCTCGCGTTCTCTCGCTCGTCTTCTCGCGAGGCTTCATCTCAAGGCGATCCAAAAACGTTCAAGAGCGCAAGGCAAAATTTTTGGGAAGCCAAAATTGGCTGGCTGAGGAATTCTGGGAGTTGAAGTCCACAAGTCTTAAAAGTTGCCGAGTTTGAAGACCCCCTGCTCAAGAGTGTCTGCGACAACAAAGATAATTAGGGGGCTGGAGGCTAAAACATGAAGAACAGTTGCAGGAATTGAGTATGGCTAGCCTAGTGAAGAGAAGGACCAGGGGTGACATGATAGCATCTTCCAGTATTTGAGGGGGCTGCCACAAAGAAGAGGGGGTGATATTCCCCAAAGCACCTGAATGCAAGACAAGAAGCAACAAATGGCAACTGAACAAAGAGAGAAGAAACCTAGAAATAAGGAGAAGTTTCCTGACAGTGAGAACAATTAATCAGTAGACCGAGTTGCCTCCAGAAGATGTGGGTGCTTCATCACTGGAGGCTTTTCAAAGAAGAGACTGGACATTCACTTGTCTGGAATGGGATAATAGGGTCTCCTGCTTGAGCAGGGAGTTGGAATAGAAGATCTCCAAGGTCCCTTCCACCTGTTATTCTGTTCTGTTAATAATAATAATAATAATAATAATAATAATAATAATAATAATAATAATAATAATAATAATAATAATAATAATAATTTAAAAAAAAGTTGGAAGGGACCTTGGAGGTCATCAAGTCCAACCCCCTGCTCAGGCAGGTAACCCTATACCATTTCGGACAAATGGCTGTCCATTTATTACTTTCTATAATTCTATATTTTAGCTGCCATTGCGTGATGTCAGAGCTTTCCTCCCCAAGTAGCTTTCTCGGGAGGAACTACAATCTGACGAGAAGGGAGGTTTTATTAAGCGATGCCCCCTCCTTGCATTTAGCTGAACAAATAAATGTGTATGGGGGGGGGGCAAATAATTTGTGTGCGCGTCAATCTAGTAATTATGGTAAAAGGGTGCACTGACAAGCAACAGAGGCGCTCTGGGCCACTTGATCAACCATTGAGGTGTTTGCGAGGCCATTCGCGCGTGCGCCTTCCTAGCCCCGCCTGTTATTTGGGCGGAAGCCTTGCTATGACCTCACTCGGCGGGCCACGCTTTCCCTCCCACTCTTGTTGGCCCGCTCCCGTATCAATCTTCCCGTCCTCTTTCCTAATTGGTCCAATCTTCACCCATTTCCCCCTCCCCTCCCGCGGTCGCACCGTGGAAACTTAAAGGAGAGGAGAAAGTGGGAGGAGGAGAAGCTGTCATTTCTCCCTTCCCGCCTTTCTATTGGCTGGGCCCTTTGTCCGTCTTTGGGCGCGCGGAAGGGGATTGGTCGGATTCGCCGGCGTGGGGCGGCGATCCAGAAAGGGCGGAATAAAAAAAAAATAAAAAAAAAAAGTGGAGGCAAGAAAAGGGATGGCGGAGTCGAGGGGGAAGATGGAGGCGTGAGGCGGAGGAGCCGGTCAGCGACGGGCCTGGGCGTGAGTGTCGGGCATCCCCCTCAGCGCCTTTCCCCGCCCGACTGCCCTCGCCGAGCCCGGAGTCGAAAGGCCGTCGGGCTTCGGCTTCGAAAAACTGGTTTTGTGTGGCGGCTTTTGGCGCCTCAGGCGGCGGCCTCCATGACCTCTTCGCTTCTCCCCCTCAGACAGTTGCTCCGCCCACTCCCCAGGCCCCGCCCTCTGGTTCCTGAACCCCGTCTCTCTTGATAGGCCCCTCCCACCTGTTAGGCCCCTCCCTCACAGGATGAAGGGCACCCCTCAATTGTGGGCCTCCTCTCAGCTACCCCCCCCAGAACGGGGTCATTGGGGCGGGTGAGGGTGTCATTCCTAGCCAGCTGATCTGCTCAAGTTTCTAGACCTCGCTGAGGTAGGTTTGCAGGGGCCACAAAGCAACTGCGCTTTGAGGGGGCTGGTGGTGGGTGTGCAACAGATGTGGAAGGTCTTTCAGCAGCTGGCCAATATTGGGACAGGCCGAGAATGGCCACATCTGGAGTTGGCAGGTTCCCACGGAAGACTTGACCTTGCTCCAGGCTCCTGACGAATAGTTTCCTCCAATAGTGTGTGAAAAGATGGGCTGACATGCGTGTTTTTCTTCTCTCTCCTTCCCAGGTTGCTTCCGGCTAAGATTTGGCTGCACCTGCTTCTCCGCCCGACGGAAAAACCCCAGAGACTCGATGCCACCATGTCCGGGACGGTCATTATCCTCCAGCAATTTGCTGGTGGCCTCAAGAGCCGTAATGAAGAGACCCGGGCGAAGGCGGCAAAGGACTTGCAGCATTACGTCACCATGGAGCTTCGAGAAGTAAGTTGGAAGACCCTGCAGAGCGCTGATGATGTCAGCTAGTTGGGTAATGAAACGTCTACCGGAAAACCACCAGGCTCAGAGAGCACCGAGGACTCCTCATGTCAATCCCCAGCTACAAATATTCTCCTTTTATTAGCAGTAGCAATAGCACTCAGACTTATATACCGCTTCGCCGTGCTTTACAGCCCTCTCTAAGCGGTTTACAGAGCATTCATAATTTCTGGAGGCAAGCTGTTCCACTGGTTAATTGTTCTCACTGTCAGGAAATTTCTCTTTAATTCTAGGTTGCTTCTCTCCTTGATTAGTTTCCATCCATTGCTTCTTGTCCTGCCCTCAGGCACTTTGGAGAATGGCTTGACTCCCTCTTCTTTGGGGCAGCCCCTGAGATACTGGAAGGCTGCTATCCTGTCCCCCCTCGTCCTTCTCTTCATTAAACTGGACAGACCCAATTCCAGCAACCGTTCCTTATATGTTTTAGCCTCCAGTCCCCTAATCATCTTTGTTGCTCTTCTCGTGACTCTTTCTACTCTTTCTTTTTGTTTTATCCTTTTCTGGTAAGAATTTATGAAAGGTTTGGGCTAATTTATTTTTTTCCCCCTGCACAGATGAGCCAAGAGGAATCCACACGTTTTTATGACCAGCTGAACCATCACATCTTCGAGCTGGTCTCTAGTTCAGATGCCAACGAAAGGAAAGGAGGCATTTTGGCTATAGGTGAGTATAGCCAGGTAGACTTGCCTAAAGAATATTGCTGGGGGGATCTGTGGCACTTGTTTGTGAAGTGTCCCCAAAATGTTGCCGTGGGCAGTATGGCTATTCACTGTGTCAGGTCCCAGCAAAGAAGCACCTCACTTACACAATTCATTTCACTTCTTTTCACTGCCCTGGAGCTGTTGAGCACCTGATTAAAGATAAAAGTAGGCACAATTGAAATATATATTGTTAGTTGTTATATGAGAAGAAATATAGGTAATAAAAATGGTCTCCAGGAGTGGGGGGTGCACTGCAGTATTTGTATTTTTTTAATGCTGTTTTTTATTTAGATTTACATGTGTTGTGTTTGTATTATTTGTTTTTGAATACAAAGGCATTGAAAAAAAGTGACTTATGACCATTTTTCACACTTAGGACCATTGCAGCATCCCCAGGGTCCCTTGATTTACATTCAAATGCTTGACAACTGGTTCATATTTATGACGGTTGCAGCGTCCCAGGGTCACGTGACCATCTTTTGCCATCTTCTGACAAAGTCAGTGGGGAAGCCAGATTCACTAATTTAACTAATTTAACAACTGCTGTGACTGACTGAACAAATGTGGCAAGAAAGATGGTGAAATGGGGCAAAACTCGTTTAACTAACGTCTCACTTAGCAAAATAAATTTTGGGCTCGTTTTCGGTTGTAAGCCGAGGACTACCTGGATTCTGCTTCCTCCAGTGAATTACCCATATTAGTCCTTTAGCAGCTCTGACGCTTTTAAGTATTTGCTGGTGTTTTCTCCTCCTCAGCCAGCCTCATTGGTGTGGAGGGAGGCAATGCCACGCGCATTGGCAGGTTTGCCAACTACCTAAGGAACCTTCTTCCATCAAATGACCCCGTTGTCATGGAGATGGCCTCCAAGGCCATCGGGCGTCTTGCGATGGCCGGTGATACCTTCACGGCCGAATATGTGGAATTCGAAGTGAAGCGGGCTCTGGAGTGGCTTGGCGCAGACAGGAATGAAGGACGGAGACACGCAGCGGTAAGAATAGCTACGGTTCAAGCTGTGTGTGAGGTTTTGGCACTTGGTGGCTTATTTCTGAGAAATACACAGACTTTATTCCTTTTAATTCCTCTGACATCCATCGTGAAGCCATAAATGGATGTTTGTGCGCCAACAGCCCTTTTGATTCAAAGTTAATGCTTTTATCAATAACTAATGTGTAATTGTTGTTGTGAAGTCGCGTCTGACCCATCGCGACCCCATGGACAATGTTCCTCCAGGCCTTCCTGTCCTCTACCGTCTTCTGGAGTCCAATTAAGCTCACGCCTGCTGCTTCAGTGACTCCATCCAGCCACCTCGTTCTCTGTCGTCCCCTTCTTCTCTTGCCCTCCATCTTTCCCAGCATCAGGCTCTTCTCCAGGGAGTCCTTCCTTCTCATTAGGTGGCCAAAGTCCTTGAGTTTCAGCTTCAGGATCTGGCCTTCTAAAGAGCAGTCAGGGTTGATCTCCTCTAGGACTGACCGGTTCGATCGCCTTGCGGTCCAGGGGACTCGCAGGAGTCTTCTCCAGCACCGTAGTTCAAAGGCCTCAATTCTTTGGCGCTCAGCCTTTCTTACGGTCCAACTTTCACAGCCATACATTGCAACTGGGAAAACCATGGCCTTGGCTATACGCACTTTTGTTGGCAGGGTGATGTCTCTGCTTTTTTAGTACGCTGTCTAGATTTGCCATAGTTTTCCTCTCCAGGAGCAAGTGTCCTTTAATTTGTAATAATAATAATCTGTAATACTGATGTATAAAACTGCTGTTATCGTCGGTCCCTTTTTCCTTCTCCAGGTCTTGGTTTTGCGAGAGCTGGCCATCAGCGTTCCCACGTTCTTCTTCCAGCAAGTTCAGCCGTTTTTTGACAACATTTTTGTCGCTGTGTGGGATCCGAAACAGGCCATCCGGGAAGGAGCCGTCTCAGCTTTACGAGCTTGTCTGATCTTGACCACTCAACGCGAGTCGAAAGAGATGCAGAAGCCGCAGTGGTACCGAGTAAGGAAGGGGGGCACGTGGGGGTCTTTTTTCCGAAGTTATAAACTCATTAGGTCGGTTGAAGTTGTGGGAAGGATTTAGAATCTGATTTTGAGGCAAGGTATGTGGGGTTAACGTAGATCACATCAGGCACAGCTACTTTGAGGGGCTAATATTCAGTTCTAAATAACAGTCAATGTGATTTCAGCAAACCTACGAGGAAGCTGAGAAAGGCTTTGATGAGTCCTTGGCCAAGGAAAAAGGTGTGAATCGGGACGACCGAATTCACGGTGCTTTACTGATCCTCAATGAGCTGGTGCGGATTAGCAGCATGGAAGGAGAGGTGAGTTAATCATGCTGTTACAAGATCTTTCTGTCCTTCAGCGTGGATTAAAAACCTTGAAGGAAAGGGGCCAGTTGGATTGAGTTTTCCAGCGCAGAGTTGCAGAAAGATACGTGGTTCTCCACCGCCATCGTTCCTCTATGCCAGGGGTGTCAAACTCAATTTCACTGAGGGCCGCATCGGCATTGTGGTTGCCCTTGGGGGGGGCGGGTGGGTGTGGCCAGAGTGGGTGGAGCCTACTGGGTGGGTATGGATGGAGTGGGTGTGGCCTACTGGGTGGGCGTGGCCAGTTCTACATCATTTGTGTCAAGGGTGCCTGTGGGGGCCTGGGCAGGAGTGGGACAGATCTGAGGGTCTCTGGCAGAAGAGGGTGGGACCGGGGCAAGTGCCAAGGCATGGTCCACCGGGGCAAGTGCCAAGGTGGCCACCACAAAATTGTACATTGGCCCCCGGCCGGCCTGGGCCAGGGTCAAGGCAGTGGGGGCCGTTCCCTTACTGTTTCCAGGATGGCTTCGCGGGCCACATGAAACCACTTCGCGGGCCGCATCCGGCCCCCGGGCCTTGTGTTTGACATTTCTGCTCTATGCTAAAGTAAAATTTTGCCCAACAGAATTGAACAGCTGCTGCCATTAGAGGCTCTTAAGTGGATGCGATAAGCAGTGGCTTTGATTCCACAAGGCTGCCCTTCTCTATTTCCTATCCTGAGGTGCCAGCCTCCCCTGTTACTTGTATGCCCCCCCCCAGTCTTAACCCTCTGCTTCCTGTCTCCATTTAGCGTCTCAGGGAAGAGATGGAAGAAATCACCCAGCAGCAGCTGGTGCACGACAAATACTGCAAGGATCTTTTGGGCTTCGGCACCAAGCCCCGTCACGTCACCCCCTTCTCCAGCTTCCAGTCGGTACAGCCCCAACAGTGCAATGCCCTGATCGGACTTCTGGGCTACAGTCCCCACTCAGGAATCCTGGGATTTGGGGCGTTACCGGTCCCGGCCAAGTCAACCTTGGTGGAGAGCCGATGCTGCCGAGAGCTGATGGAGGAGAAGTTTGACCAGGTGAGTTTTCCCCCCCTTCCAATGGCAAGGGCTTTTGAAGAGCATCCGAAAAGCCCAGGTAAGGCAGTCCCAACTGCAATTTGAACTGGGCTTTTTTTGAGGTGCAAATCCAGATAAATTCCAGTTAGCAGAAAACTCCTTTGAAAGCTGACTTTCAGCTACCTCTTGCTGGGATGTAAAAACCAAACGGATGTGCGTTTTTTTGTGTTTGGGTGAGATGTTATTGACGGCAGATTCTGCCTTGTCAAAAGAATGACGCAAGAACTGCGTTTATCCAGTACTGCAGATTGAGCATCTGTTCAAGTATCTTCTGCAAAAAGGAGAAACTTATTTGTTACTAGCTGTACCCGGCCACGCGTTGCTGTGGCTCAGTCTGGTTAAACGGAAAAGAAAGAAAAGAGAAAGTGCACGTTTGTAATATGTTTACGTCCAACAGATGGCGCTGTTTTTCAAAAAAAGCATGTTTTTACCTGTCACAGGTGTGACATCTATATAATAGTAGGTATATAAAAACACGCGCGTATTCGAATGCAAAGTTGCGTCAAAATTTCAAAGCAATCGGTGAAGAACTTTCGGAGATTTAAGATTTTGAACAAACGAACATTTACATTTTTATTTATATAGATTTTAAAAGAGAAAATGCTTGGGAAAGCTTCGCCTTTTGTCTCGCTTCTTGCTTTCAAGCTGTCCTGCCTGCTCCCAGCTGACATTTGAAGTGGCTTCCTTGTTGCTTTGAGGGTGCTGCCTCAGCTATTAATGGAACCTCTTTCACTTACAGGTGTGCTACTGGGTCCTGAAGTGCCGAAGCAGCAAGAACACTTTGATTCAAATGACCGTCCTCAGCTTATTGCCACGGCTGGCCGCTTTCCGCCCTTCTGCTTTCACAGGTAAACAGCTGAGGTTGAGATTGGTACTTGGGAAGGAGACACCAGAAAGATTTAAGTTTCTTTTTGTTTAGTCTATTGTTTCTTTTCTGTGGAGGTTATATAGAAGTATAGAACAAAATATGCCCGTACTGCAGATTGGTTATTTCTGTGTGCAGATGATAAGGGGAAATGAGGTACATTCAGTTCGAGGGCAGGTCACTAAGCAGTTGAGAGAAGGGTCCACTGTGCCACCAGCCAAGAGCCGTGGTGGCGCGGTGGCTAGAATGCAGCATTGCAGGCTGACTCTGCCCACAGTCTGGAGTTCGATCCCGACCAGCTCAAGGTTGACTCAGCCTTCCATCCTTCCGAGGTCGGTAAAATGAGGACCCAGATTGTTGAGGGGAGCAACAGGCTGACTCTGTAAACCGCTTAGAGAGGGCTGTAAAGGCACTGTGAAGCGGTATATAAGTCTAAGTGCTATTGCTAAGTCGGAAGGAAGGAAGGAAGGAAGGAAGGAAGGAAGGAAGGAAGGAAGGAAGGAAGGAAGGAAGGAAGGAAGGAAGAGCCGTAGTGGCACAGTGGTTAGAATGCAGGGTTGCAGGCTAACTCACTGCTCACTGCCAGGAGTTCGATCCTGACCGGCTCAAGGTTGACTCATCCTTCCATCCTTCTGAGGTTGATAAAATGAGGACCCAGCTTGTTGGGGGGAAATAGGCTTAGAGAGGGCTGTAAAGCCCTGTGAAGCAGTATATAAGTCTAGGTACTATTGCTATTTTCTAATTAGTTTAAAGTTTAATTCAGGAAGCCACCAAACACCTCCTCCTCCACATTCTTACAGACTTAGAGGAATGACATCTTGGGCACGTGTGAAGTGCGTACTGTTCATCCCTGATTACCTTGTTGGTTCCCTGCATTTTTTTTTAAGAAATGGAATATATTTGAATCCTCTGAATTAGCAGTCTATGTTTCCTTAAATCAAGTGTGTGTTTTTAATCCTCCTCCATTGCTGTTGGCGGCTAGCTGACCACTACCTTCCCGACACCATGAGCCACGTCTTGAGCTGCGTGAAGAAGGAAAAAGAGCGGACGGCTGCTTTCCAAGCCCTGGGTTTGCTCTCTGTAGCTGTGCGGTCAGAGTTCCAGGTTTACCTGCCCAAGGTTCTTGAAATTATCAAGGGGGCCCTCCCGTTGAAGGACTTCACCCACAAGTAAGTGAGGGGCTTCCAGAGATTGTGAGATATTCAGGATTGGGCACCCCGTTTTAAATGTCGTGGTTCCGAGAGGTGAAACTCTTCAAAGAACTTCCAGGCATTGTTTACCTTAAAGAATCTTTATTTGAGTAGCATGGCATCAGCACTAACACAGTCGAAGCCAAAAACTGGATTCCCCTCCTCTGAGCACATAGTATCAAAGCACAATTCCCTCCTCCAATTAACAGTCACAAATCACATTCTCCAATTCGCTTGAGATGCAGGCCTTCCCTCCAGTTCTCCAGCCCGCCAATTCTTATCATCTCTTATTTCAATAACCTTGTTTCTCACACTAGGTCCAGTGTTATTATGTCTAGCTAAACTTTCATGCATGTTCCTCCCCCTCCCCCCAGCATCATCTAACTCTAAAAGTAAAACATAAGTAGAAAATGGTTGCATCTCTTAACTGTTGTCAAAGCAAAAACATCCAATGTTAGCAGCGTGGACACCCGAACCATTGAAACAATTCTGAACTCTTGAGCATTGATAGCGTTGATGAACACAAACGGACGTTCCTTCTCATTTTGGGCGAAGTTGAGAGTCATCCAAAAGGAGATTCCATAGGAGCTTTGAGGCTCTCTCCAGCCCATTGCCCCAAACAGCTACTTCCTACATCAGGTCTTTTGGCTGGGGAAGCTCATGTGGTCACAGTCACAGCTATTTTTCCACCCCTGCTAACTGTCTAGGGAGATTCCCCATCATCCAGGTCTTGGTTGTCCCCAAGGTGCTTTTTCAGGACTTCCTTGGTTTTTTTGAAGACGTTTCTCTCCTCATCCCAGAAGCTTCTTCAGCTCTGACTGGATGGTGAGGAATGAAGGGTTTATATACCTGGTCATTTGCATCCTTTTAGAGAGCCGTTGAGGCCACTTGGAGGCTTGTCTGTGTCCTCAGGGTCAGCTGAGTGGTGCCAATGGGTGTGGAGCCTTCTTGGCTGCAGGATGTTTTTCTGCCCCGGGTCCCTTCACTGTTGAAGACGGGCGCAGGCTGTCAGGGATGAGTCTGTGTTGTCTGCATCTCCAACCGAAGCGCAAATGGCCCATTCCCCACCATCTAGTCAGAACTGAAGAGGCTTCTTGGATGAGAAGCAAAACATCTTCAGAGAAAACAAGAAAGTCCATTTGTTTCCTGAAAAAGCACCTTTGGGACAGCCCTGCTACCTTTAAACTTTCTGTTAAGATGGGGTGAGGATCGTTAATGTGGCTAAGTCACTGTTGTGTACGGAAGGTTTGGCTTGCTTCAAGAAATGTAACCCATGCCTCCTTAGGAGACAGAAATCCATGCAGGTGGATGCCACTGTTTTTACCTGCATCAGCATGCTGGCACGAGCAATGGGTCCCTCCATTCAGCAAGACATCAAAGAACTTCTGGAGCCCATGTTGGCTGTGGGGCTGAGGTAGGTCCAGCAGACCCTGTCTCCTGCTTTGGGCTTGCGTTTATCTCTCTTAATCACCCGACATTGTGATAATTCCATGATAGCTGAAGGCAGCATCAGGTTCAGTTGTGAGTAACTGAATTCATCCAATCATTTTTTCTGCTGTCCTCACCACTCTCTGCACGGCCTTCCTATCCGAAACAGCAATAGGTCCAAACCGCACAGTAATACAATATCTACGCAAGGATCGTGAGCCTCAACCCACAGTTCATCCGTGGGTCTCTGCATCTTGTCCCCAGCCCTGCGCTGACCGCTGTCCTGTACGACCTGAGTCGCCAGATCCCACAGCTGAAGAAAGAGATCCAGGACGGGTTGCTGAAGATGCTGTCCCTCGTGTTGATGCATCGCCCGCTGCGCCACCCGGGCATGCCGAAAGGCCTCGCCCACCAGCTGGCTTCTCCCAGCCTCACCAACATTCCTGAGGCCAATGACGTGGCCAGCATCACGCTCGCCCTCCGCACCCTGGGCAGTTTTGAGTTTGAAGGTAAGGCAGGCAGAAATCCAGTGGAGAAAGCCTGTGGGCCAGGTAAGGGAGCCTGGCCATACCTCCCCGTTTCCCTTTTGCTTCCTTTCGTTAGGGCATTCCTTGACTCAGTTCGTCCGGCACTGCGCGGATCACTTCCTGAACAGCGAGCACAAGGAAGTGCGCATGGAAGCAGCCCGGACGTGCTCCCGCTTACTCACGCCTTCCATTCACCTGATCAGTGGCCACGCCCACGTGGTCAGCCAGACGGCGGTCCAAGTGGTGGCTGATGTCCTCAGCAAGCTCTTGGTGGTGGGGATCACGGACCCCGGTGAGCATCAGGAGCCAGGGAAGAGGGTGCTCTGGGCATATGACAGAATTGATGGTGAAGGGCTCGTTCCCCGAGCTTGTGGGTTGCTTAGCAACAGACGTTTGGGGCCCAATTTTGGTCATAAGTCGAGGATTACCAGTAGTCTGTGCAGATGGTGCTGGACCAAACCAAGAGTCAGTGGACTGGATAATGGTGCTCCCTTCTTGGGCTATCCTTTTCCCAAGCATCTGTTGCTGTATGCAACAAAATCTCATTTTAATGTATGCTGATTAATGTACATTTAAAGCGACAATAAAGCTGTTCTATTCCATTCCTATTCCATTCTATTTCTATTCCATTCCATTTCTATTTCTATTTCTATTTCATTTTCTATTCTATTCTATTCTATTCCATTTCTATTTCTATTTCTACTCCATATTCTATTCTATTCTATTTCTATTTCAATTCCATATTCTATTCTATTTCTATTCTATTCCAATTCCAATTCCATATTCTGTTCTATTTTATTCTATTTCTATTCCATATTCTATTCCATATTCTATTCTATTCTATTCTATTCCTGTCCCCATCCCATCTGTCTTCATTCTATTCTGTTCTATTACCTGCTGTACAAATCTGCCCTCTCCAGACCCCGACATCCGGTTCTGCGTGCTGGCGTCCTTGGACGAGCGCTTTGACGCCCACCTGGCCCAGGCGGAGAACTTGCAAGCGCTTTTCGTCGCTCTGAACGACCAGGTGTTTGAGATCCGGGAGCTGGCCATTTGCACCGTGGGCCGGCTGAGCAGCATGAATCCGGCTTTTGTCATGCCGTTCCTCCGGAAAATGCTAATTCAGGTAAGAGCGTTGGAGGAGGCAGCAAGCCCCAAACCCCGTCTGCCCTGGCGATACCCTCAAAAAAATCACTTAACTCTAGCTCGGAGGTAAATGGGACCATTTTGGTTTCTCATATTTGTCTTTGTAAGCATGCCATCGGCTCCGAGGCTACCCATACAGTTGTGGGTTTTCAGAAGTTCTCACTGTTTTTATTTATTTACATTTCCTATTTCTTAACCCACCCATCTCCCTTGAAGATTCTTTCTGCCCTGAAGCAGAAATGATAGATAATGGGAGACCATTCTGAGCGGGTACATTAATGTCCACTAATGGTGGATTCGTATCCCTGGTGGCGCGGTGGTTAGGATGCAGCATTGCAGGCTAATTCTGCCGATTGCCAGGAGTTCGATCCTGACCCGCTCAAGGTCGACTCAGCCTTCTGTCCTTCCGAGGTCGGTAAAATGAGGACCCAAGTTGTTGGGGACAATAGGCTGACTCTGTAAACCGCTCAGAGAGGGCTGCAAACCACTATGTAGTGGTATATAAACTTAAGTGTGCTATTGCTCATGTGGATATATTAGTAGTGATAAATAACAGGTGGAGAAAATTCAGAGGAGCGGTTTTTTGGCCCTTTGAGGAATAAGGGCATCCAATTCACGCAAATCAACCTTTCACTTCAGAGCTGAAATGCCTTTCTCCCTTCTCTTGCTGTTAACCTGGAACCATCCCTTCACCCTTCCAGATCCTGACTGAGCTGGAGCACAGTGGCGTGGGCAGAATCAAAGAGCAGAGTGCCAGGATGTTGGGACACTTGGTATCCAATGCCCCACGGCTCATTCGCCCCTATATGGAACCCATCCTCAAGGTAAGGTGGCCGTGGGGGGGTGACTTTCTGAATCCCCAAACACACCCCTTTGTTCATGCGATGTAGCCTCCTTCACTTTGCCCTCCAGGGCCATCAGCCTTCAGTTGCTCTCTTCCGCCATGTTGAAAGAAAGGCGGATTTAATGATTGCATCCCATTTCTCCCCTACTGAGGAGAGAGCTTAAAATGTCCTTTCCTCCATAGGATGAGAAAGAAATGTGTAAAAGTAGTCCTCGACTTAACAACGGTACATGTAGTGTGTCGGGGTAATGATTTAAAGCAGGGGTAGGCAACCTTGGCTCTTTTATGATTCGTGGACGTCAACTCCCAGAATTCCTGAGCCAGTCATGCTGATTTAAAGGCTAACCAGCTGATGTAATGTAAGGTGGATGATGCAGTGATAGGAATGACTCAACAGGTCTGTGTCTCTTTAAGAGTAAGCAGGGTCTGTATCCCTTTAAGAGCCTGAGTATAAAAGGGAAGGCTTTTGATGGAGTGTCTCTCTCTCTTTCTTCCATTTCCTGCTGTAACTGCTGTATGTTGGAGTTTGCTGTATTACCACATGGATGTATATTGTTCCCGGTGTGTATTGTAGATAGTGTAGGATAAACCACCATTTAATACAGACCACTATTTGCTGTCTTTACTTTTGGGTTATCTTGGCGCAATAAGGCTGTGCATGCTCTGACATAGCGACCGTCCAAAGTAACAACGACACTGAAAAATGTGACTTGGGACCGTTTTTCACAGTTACGTGCCCAGGGTCACCTGATCAAAAGTGGCAAAACTGGCTCGTATTTACGACTAAGCCCGATTTCACTTAACAACAGGGTTACTAACTTACCAACCGCAGTGATTCACTTAAAAACTGAGGCAAGGAAGGTCGTAAACTGGGGCAAATCCCCTTCAACAAATGCCTCACTTTTGAACAGAAATCCGAAGCTCCATTGTGGTCTTAAGTCAGGGGTCTTCAAACTCGTCCTTTTGATGACTTGTGGACTTCAACTCCCAGAATTCCTCAGCCAGGCATGGAATTCTGGGAGTTGAAGTCCACAAGTCATCAAAGGGCCGAGTTTGAAGACCCCTGCCTTAAGTCAAGGACTGCCTGTATATTATGTGATCCTTTTTGACGTCATTTTCACCTGCTGTCATTCAACAGGCGTTAATCGTGAAGCTGAAAGACCCAGATCCTGATCCAAACCCCGGCGTAATCAATAACGTCTTGGCTACCATCGGTGAACTGGCCCAGGTAAGTTACACAGGTAGCCTCTTTCAGCAGCTCCTGAAAGGAGAAGAGTCCCTTCCTTCCCACCATCACACCATCCATCCCCAGCCTCGTTTCTGCCCTTTGCGTTCCGGACTCTGCTGCTTTTTCATATACGGGTTTTTCCTCCCCAACAGGTGAGCGGGCTGGAGATGCGCAAGTGGGTGGATGAGCTGTTCATCATCATCATGGACATGCTCCAGGACTCCTCCTTGCTGGCCAAAAGACAGGTGAGTGGCCTCTTCCTTGAAGCTAGGAAATTGCCCCCTCCACACACAGACAGACTTTTGATGTCAGGGATGATCTGCTCTGCTTATGAGCCCCCTTGAGGTTGCAGGGCAGTTCAAGGCAGAATCTCTCCCCCTGGGCTGAATAACAGAATAATAAGAGTTGGAAGGGACCTTGGAGATTCTCTAGTCCAACCCCCTGCTCAAGCAGAAGACTTACATCATTTCAGACAGATGGTTATCCAATCTCTTCTTAAAAACCTGGTGGAGCACCCACAACATCCCGAGGAAAGCCATCCCACATGTTAATTCTTCTCACGGTCAGGAAATTCCTCCTTAGTTCCAGGTTGCTTCTCTCCTTCATTAGTTTCCACCTGTTGCTCCTTGTCCTGCCTCTGGGTGCCCTGGAGAATAGGTCGAGCCCCTCTTCTTTGGGGCAGCCCCTCAAATATTGCAACACTGCTACCGCGTCACCCCTACTCCTCCTTTTCGTTAAACCAGACATACCCAATTCCTGCCACTGTTCTTTGTGTCTTTTAGCCGTGTCGTTGCCCTCTTGAAATGGACAATATCGTTCTTAAATCGCTTCTGTTTGTGTGTTGTTTGCTTTTTTTATATATATAAAAAAATGGAACCACTTTTGTGTAGAAATAAAATCGGTGCCTGCTAGAGAAGCTGACGTGCTGTTTACTTCTCTCCCGACCCTTTAGTCAGTGTGGCTGAGCCAGTGATGGCGAACCTTTTAGAGACCGAGTGCCCCAAGCCCACCCCGCCCCCAGCCTGCCCCCGCTCCGCTCTGCCCGCCCACCCCCGCCCTGCTCCACCCTCACCCTGCCCGCTGTCAGGGCCATCCGCGGCCCGTCGCAGATCGCCCAGGCGGCCCTGCAGCGCCATGGTGGCCACGCCCTCCACCCGCGCCCCGCAGCATCATCTGCTGCCCAGCTGCCATGTGTTTGGCTGCGCTGCTCTGCCCAGGCCGCACCTGGGGGTGACTCTCCTCCGGGGGGAGGCTGCTGATGAGGAGGGGGCTGTGGGGGGAGGCGGGGCTGGGGCGACGGCATGCGTGCCCACAGAGAGGGCTCCGAGTGCCGCCTGTGGCACCCGTGCCATAGGTTCGCCACCACTGGGCTAAGCTAGCAAACTATTTAGATCAGACATGTCAAACACAAGGCCCGGGGGCCGGATGTGGCCTGCGAAGTGGTTTCATGTGGCCCACGAAGCCATCCTGGAAACAGTGAGGGAACGGTCCCCGCTGCCTTGGCCCTGGCCCAGGCCGGCCAGGAGCCAATGTCCAATTTTGTGGTGGCCATCTATGCTGAAATGCATTCAGTCTTAGCTCCACAAGGCTGTCTGAACACAGCGAGGAACCAGCCCCTGCCGCGTCGGCCCCCGTCCCCTGGGTGCATGCTGGGGAGGTGTCACCCTTTGTGAGGAATGAAGAAATGGACCATGCCTTGGCGCTTGCCCCGTTCCCCCCCCTTCTGCTAGAGACCCTCAGATCTGTCCCACTCCTGCCCAGGCCCCCACAGGCACCCTTGACGGGAACGATGTAGAACCCAGTAGGCCACTCCCACTCCATCCACACCCACCCAGTAGGCCGCCCCCCCTGAGGGCAACCACAATGCTGATGCGGCCCTCAATGAAATTGAGTTTGACACCCCTGATTTAGATGGAGCTGTAATTCTGTTTTCTCCTGTGGGGTGGGGTCTTTTGCAGGTGGCTTTGTGGACCCTGGGACAGCTGGTAGCCAGCACTGGCTACGTGGTGGAACCCTACAGGAAGTACCCCACTCTCCTGGAGGTGCTGCTGAACTTCTTGAAAACAGAGCAGAACCAGGGTACCCGAAGAGAGGTAGGCCTCCTTGGCTCTCTCCGCTTGGCAGGCTGAGTAGGGAGGACGGGCTTCGGAAAGTTCCCTCAAATGCGTCCGAGAAAAAGTGGCTTTATCCGTGTTTCATGCCTCCAAGAAAAACAGGGCCACGCAATCCTTTATCAGGAGAAAGTGTGCCCCGGGAAACCGATTGTACAAATGTGCAAATGAATCCTTTGTCCACCCATCCCTTTTTTTTTCTTTCCCTATTAGGCTATTCGTGTCCTTGGCCTGTTGGGAGCTCTGGACCCATATAAACATAAGGTGAACATCGGTATGATAGACCAGTCCAGGGATGCTTCGGCTGTGAGCCTCTCCGAATCTAAATCCAGCCAGGATTCTTGTAAGTGAGCGGAGGAAAGAACGTTCTGAGCCACCCTCTGTTAAAAAACAAACAAACCCCAAAAGCCGTTGTGTTATTTAGTAGTTTGATTTAAAAAAAAAATAATCAGAAATTAGCTCACTTGAGCTTGGGCGTGGCATTAGGTCAGGGGTCTTCAAAGTTGGCCCTTTGATGACTTGTGGACTTCAGCTCCCAGAATTCCTCAGCCAGCATGCCTGGCTGAGGCATTCTGGGAATTGAAGTCCACAAGTCATCAAAGGGCCAATTTTGAAGACCCCTGAGCTAGAACATAAAGAGTTGGAAGGGACATCTTGGAGGTCATCTAGCCCAACCCCCTGCTCAAGCAGGAGAGTCTATACCAGGGGTCTTCAAACGTGGCCCTTTGATGACTTGTGGACTTCAACTCCCAGAATTCCTGCCTGGCTGAGGAATTCTGGGAGTTGAAGTCCACAAGTCATGAAAGGGCCAGGTTTGAAGACCCCTTGCATTAGATGCTTAGGAAAAAAAAACGTACAGTTAAATTGGTTTATCGGAATTAAAATTAGGGCATCTAGTCCACTTGATGACTAGCTCCAGCCTGCTAAGGTCTATTGAACTTAGGAAGTTTATTCTAATATTTCACTGAGATCCACCTCCTTGCAGTTTCCCTATTTGGATGGAGAAAACAGCCCTAAGTCTTTTACCAGAACTGCCGTGTTTAGTTGCTCTCTGTCTCCCCCCCCCCAACAGGGTGCATTTGGTTTCCCCTTAATTCAGGGGTCTTCCAACTTGGCCCTTTGATGACGTGTGGACTTCAACTCCCAGAATTCCTTGGGAGCTGACATCTGTACATCTTCAGACAGTCCAGGTTGAGAAACACAGCTCAACAGGGAGCCTGGCTGAGGAATTCTGGGAGTTGAAGTCCACAAGTCATCAAAGGGCCAAGTTTGAAGACCCCTTGCATTAGATGCTTAGAAAGAAAACCATCGTACATTTCAATTGGATTATCGGAATTAAAATTAGGGCATCTAGTGCACTGGATGACTAGCTCCACCCTGCTTGCACCTCAGATCTATAAAGTCATTACAAACCGTCCAGTTTCGGCTTGCTTGTTGGTCAGCTGTTGTGCCCTGCCAACACTGAATGGAGAGTCTCTCCTTTCCAGCTGACTACAGCACCAGTGAGATGCTGGTTAACATGGGAAACCTCCCCCTGGACGAGTTCTACCCGGCAGTCTCCATGGTGGCCCTCATGAGGATCTTCCGGGACCAGTCCTTGTCCCATCACCACACCATGGTGGTCCAGGCCATCACCTTTATTTTCAAATCTCTTGGCCTGAAGTGTGTGCAGTTCCTGCCTCAAGTGATGCCGACTTTCCTCAACGTCATCCGGGTTTGCGATGGGGCCATCCGGGAGGTGAGTGCGCCTCTTTTCTCCTGCTCCCCAGAAACCAGAAATCACTTAAAATAGCAAAAATAAAATAAAATAAGAAACGTGCCCGTGCTCTTTGGAGAAGGGAGGGGGCAGG